AAAAAATATATTTATTATATTTTCAATTTATACCTTAAAGACACTATTTATAAAAATCCTTAACATTATCAAAGTACATTTAATGAATAATATAGAAAAAAAAATTATTAAAAAAATTTTGATAAATTCCTAAACTCAAACTACATTTTTAATATGCAACATTAAGTAAAAAAACGCATTTTTGTTTAATTTATTCTTACACTTGATGTTATACTAGAGGACTATCCATATCGCGCGCATTCCTAATTATGTAAACTCAATTCAAATCAAAAGATTAATTTGTATACATAAGAGTGCAGACCAAGAAAAAAAAAATTTGTATACATAAGAGTAATGCTACAAGACAATATATTTTGTATATTTTTTTATTTATAAAATTAAAAACTATTATTATTATTATATAAGTGTATATAATATTATAAATTATAATAAAATCAAAATATATAATTATTAAAAATATAAAAATTTTATTCAAAAATTATTTTTCAATTATTTTTCTAGAAATAACTACTAGAAAATGACTCATACTTTGTGATTGTCGCACATCCTATCAAATTAAGGAACGTAACAAGGTGGTGGGTGAGACAATTAAGGCGGTCCAAGAGGCGAGAGAAAATGCCGAGGAAGTCGCACGGACAACAATAGCATCTCGAGGCAGGAGCATAAAAGGAACGACGTGGGAGATGCATGTCCCATCACGTGGCTCTAGACGGTGGAGAAGCCACGACTGCGCCCTCCCCCTAACTCAAGCGTGGCACCACCTATCACCATAGATGCATTCATGCTACCAGCCCCACGCTGACGCAAGTCCTTTCTATTTGTATTACGACCTAAGCCATTTTGTTTTGTCCAAGCTTCTTCTGTACATATACATATATATATATATGTGTGTGTGTGTTTGAAACTAGCTATTGCCTGTACAAATATGCATATAGTCAAACTGCCGTACTTGGTTCACTAGGTAACACATTTTTGGGGAGAACATGGGGAGGGCACCGTGTTGCGAGAAGGTGGGGCTGAAGAAGGGGCGGTGGACGTCGGAGGAGGATGAAAAATTGCGCAAGTATATTCAAGAAAATGGTGAAGGGTCATGGAGGTCATTACCTAAGTATGCTGGTAGGTATACAACAAATTGCAACATATTCTTTTTTTCATAATGGTGTTGTGGAGACTTTTGCACTGACGGTAAACACCATGGCCCTTTGGTTAATGGGGCAAGAATCCTAATAATCATGGGGCTCATCTTTTGTCGTCAATGTAGAATTAATGGACTGCAAAAAATTTTTCTGTTATTTTTTTTCCTTGTGGCACCTACGTTTCCCTTTTTTTCCTTTTCTTTTTAATTTCTTGTTTGATACTTTGATCTCTAATTTTATTATTATTATTATTATTTTGTCAAGGGTTATCGAGATGTGGAAAGAGTTGCAGATTGAGATGGATTAATTACCTGAGAGATGATTTGAAGAAGGGAAACATATCTTCAGAGGAGGATGAAATCATCATTAATCTGCATGCTTCGTTGGGGAATAGGTCAGTGCAGCAAATCTGTACTCTTTTTGTTTTTATGTATGG